GGTTCCGTAGCTCAGTGGCAGAGCGTGCGACTGTTAATCGCGAGGTCGAGGGTTCGATGCCCTCCGGAACCGCGCGTTGTGCATACTCTTTCGTTTTGCCGGTCGCCCCGGTGGTTTGTTAAACGTCATCAAGCAAGCAGCATCGGGATGTTGGTTTGTTTTTTCTCTTTGCCTACTGTTAGGGAATATTTGTGTTGTGCGTGAACGACACCGTTCTGCTGTGGGTTTTATCCCCGGCATTGTTAAGGCGTGTTTCCAAGTCTGTAACCGTCCGGTGACGACAGCTTGGGCGCCTGTGTGTGGATCGTGAATCACTCTGCCTTTCTTTACCCAGGCCTCCGTCACATACGCCAGCCACAGCACACAACAGCCGTGCTGTTAGGTCTTGAGCCTCGCGCGGTAGGGGATCTAACTGACACGAGTCACATGGCGTCCGCAGCTCCCATTACGAATGAATCCCATGCAACGTGGGTTTATGCCTTTTGATGGTGATGGTGCGAGCTTCCCTGGATGGGTCACTCTTGATGCATAAGTCTGGCCTCGGAAAGATAATGTCGGGAAAAGAACAACCTCCTGAAGCTCTGACGGGAGATGAAGCCCCGGACGAACGGGCGGCGGATGCCACTGCGATGGAGAAATTCGCAGAGAGAAATGGCGAGCTGTACATGCGGCTTCTGATGTCGACGTCCGACGGCGCAGGAGGGTTCTCCCGCGCGGCATCACCGGTGGTACAAGAGTACGGGCCGATTGGAGATGCTGAGTATGGGGATGGTCGTGCTGCCTTTGTAGCGCTAGAGAAGAAGTACAAGGTGGCGGGTCCGTATCGGATGAAGCAGCTGCACGCCCAACTGCCATCCGTCACCGTCACAGCAAGCGACGAATATTTTGATCCGTCGCGCGCGATCCAGGAGTTGCGCCCCGCATTTCTACCGAGTTGGGTTCTCTCGGCGATACTGTCGCGGACTCGCGGCTGTCCAACGCTTTGCATGGCGCTCTCCCGGACAGCCACTGCAGCGAAATGAAGACTGCGTTGCTGTGTGAGTTGCAGAGGTCGGCTGAGGGTACGGTTGATTTCGAAGTACTCGCCCTCCGTGCTACAACATTTCATGCAATGCGAATCCGGGGGAAAGACTCTGGCCGCGTTGATGTGGCAGGCAGTCATGGTCGGGCTTTGAACACTGTCACGTACGGAGGAGCCCGTGCCTTCCGCAAGCAAGGGGGGCGCGGTGGACGTGGCGGACGTGGTCGTCGAGGAAATGGCGGCCAAACTCTGAACGGTTCGACGGGCGGCGGTTCGTCGAACGGGAACAACGGAGGTGCCTCGACACACAGAGACAGCGCGGGAAATGCGCAAGGCGGACGAGGCAATGGTCGCGGTAGCCAAGCTTCCGGTGGAAGCGGTCGAGGACGGCGCCGGGACAATAGTCAAAATTCGAAGGGCTTGGGCAGGTACTGCCACAACTCCAAAGAGCACGGGTGGCACATCTGCCCGCTTCGCCTTTGCAGGAGGCGGAAGAAGCCAAGGAACAGGCTTCTCATGTCACGAAGGAGTCGACCACACAGGCGTGGTTTACGCGGATCGAGGGACCCAACAGCCAGGTGGAGGACTTCGCGGTTGTCATCGGAGATCACACGCAGGTAGGTGCAGACGGAGCCTGATGACTACATGCGGGTGCAGAAGGCACCTGTTGCGGCGCTGCCGGAAACGCGCGCCGCCAACAACCCGCAGGCGCAGAAGGTGCCTGGTGCGGCGCAGCTAGAGGAGCGCGCAGCTGGAGTTGTGCAGGTGCAGGATGAGCCTGCTGCGGTGCTACGTGATGATCGCGCCGCTGGTGATGTGCCGGTGCAGGCGGCGCTTGTGGCAACGGCTCACCTTCAGGCGGAGGAGGCGTCTGATGGAACAAAGTATGTCGGGTACACCAATGTGTTTCAAGTGGAACAGGTGCATCCCTCCGCTGTTGGAGACACGACTGTATACACCGATTCTGCCGCTTCTAGCAACATGATATGCACCGAGCCCCGCCTGTCCAAACATGTTCGTGATCCGGTGGACTGCGCCGTGCGTATCATCGGGTCGTGTGGTACCTCAAATGCAACCAAGAAAGGTACGATAAAATTTGGAATTCGGAATGACAAGAACACGGTGGTACCGGTAGCGGCGGAAGCTCTGCTGGTTCGCAACCTAGACTAGGGGCTAACATCTTGTCGGCTGGAGCTTTGGCCGAGAAGAGGGTGATGTGTGATCTATTGTCGACCCCGCCGGCACTTCGCCATGACAACCATGTATTCCCCATCTCGACCGCGGTGCGGCGGATGTACGTCGTGAACGTCATCATCGACGACGTCAATCTGACGCCGCAGGTGTGCCGCACCAAGGTCGACGCTGATATGTGGCATCGTAGAATGAGTCATTACCCACGTGCTCTGCAGCAGCTGTCAGACAATGTGACAACCGAAGTGAAGTTCAACCGGAACATCGAACTAGGTGACTACGGGGTTTGCGCGGTTGGCGACAGCAAGGAAGGTAGCCACCCCCCGTCGAATCGCACTCGAGTCACGACTCGGCTTGGGATTCTGAGCGCCGACGTGTGGGGGCCGCACGNGTTTGGCTTTCTCCTGAAGACGAAAGATGGGGTGGCGGAGTCGCTCCAAGAGCTTATCCAGAACGAAGCGGATCCTTTGGGGACCTGCATCGGCAAGGTGCACTGCGATGGCGCAGCAGAGTTTAAGGGCAGGTTCCATGCGTCGTGTGAGTCCATGGGGATCAAGGTGGATAATAGCCATCCCTACGTCCCGCAAGGGAACGCCATCGCCGAACGTGGACTTGGCACCATCACCGGAACGGCGCTCAAGCTACTCCTGGGAGCACCGCACCTTCCAGGCCATCTGTGGGGTGAAGCATTCTACACAGCTANGCCCTCCACAAGGGAACACCATCGTCGAACGTGGATGTGGCATCATCATCGGAACGACGCGCAAGCTACTCCTGGAAGCACCGCACCTTCCAGGCCATGTGTGGGGCGAAGCATTCCATACGGCTGTCTACCTCAAGAATCGCACACCTACGGAGGTTCTGAGCGGAAAGGCCCCACTTGAGGTATGGGAGGGGAAACCGCTCGGTGACATGTCGCACATCCACGAATGGGGCTCGGTAGCCTATAAGCATGAGGAAGCGCGATTCCGGAACACCAAGCTGTCAGCTAGGGCCAAGAAGATGTATCATGTGGTGTACAACACTAAAAATGGGACATACAGGCTGTGGGAACCGGCGGAGCCCCTCAAGATCACAAACTCCGCTGAGGTGTCCTTTTGTGAGAAAGAGGCTCGCGATGTGGTCCGTTCTCAGCGATGACTCCCACCACCATCTATCTGCCGGACACGGTCGACACTAACGAAGAAGAAAACAAAACNACCCCAAATGGAGGATTCGAACCTACGTCGGAGCGGCAGGGTCTCCAACGTACCGGAGAGGATGAATCTGCATACGACGGAGGCGCACGAGCGGACCGTGCATGCCCTGTTGACGGGAAGTGTGCTTGGAAACATCTGGACTGGTCGCCCCGGTGAGGCGGGCTACAGGCCTGCTGATCCCGCAAGCTATGACGCAGCGGTCAACGGCACGGAGGGAGAACTCTGGAGAGAAAGCGTCAGCGACAAGGGAAAGTCGCTGAACAAACATGACGTGTTCGACTGGGTGGATCCGCCGAAGAACGCCAAACCGATCCCGTCTAGGTTCCATTTCGTGTGGAAGTACAATCAGGGCGGCGTGGCGGTTCGCGTGAAAACTCGTGTGGTGGTGCAAGGCTTTTACGAAGCTGATACGGGGGCCGACAAGGCGGCGCCGGTGGCGTCCATGGAATCCGTACACATGGTGTTAGCAGTTGCTGCCCACAACCATCTCGTCCTGAAGCAAGCGGATATCAAGACGGCATTTCTACATGCCAGAATCCCCGAGGAGGCGGAGCCTACATACATCATACCGCCGAAGGGATTCCCGTGTTCGCCGGGTCAGGCTAAACAAGTCTGGCTTCTCAAGGCGTGGCTCTATGGCCTGCGCCTCTCCCCGAAGGGATGGAACGGTACTTTTCGTGTCTTTCTACTGGAGCATGGCTTTGTGCAGGGCACCGCAGACCCGTACTTTTACTCACTGCAAGGCGGAGAAGTACTTCTGCTTGTATACGTGACCTAGACGGACTTCGGAGGTGACCTAGACGATCAGAAGTCGACTACGGGGATCGTTCTATTCCTAGCCGGTGGTCCGGTGGACCGGAGGGCGGCTAAACAACCGCTGGTGGCCGTCTCATCGGTGGAGGCGGAGTACGTGGCGTTGTCCAAGGCTTGCCAGCTCATCATCCCCTTCCGGCACCTACTGAAGACTATAAGACGTGCCCAAAAGGAGGCAACGGTGCTTTACGAGGATAACTCCGGGGCTATATTGACTAGCGTTAGCTCCAAGATCACGCCCAGGACCAAGCATATTGATGTCAAGTATCACCACATCAGGTCGCTGATCCAGGATGGAGTCGTAAAGGTCGAGAAGATCGAGTCAGCAATGCAGAAAGCTGGCATGTTTACCAAGAGTTTGGGTGCTGTGAAGTTCATCAAGAACCGCATGATGCTCCTAGGAGAATAATTTGTGTTGGAAACGAAGCTCAGGAGATGTGTGTAGGAGGAAGAGAAATTGCTGCTTGAAGGAAATGTATGGCAGCTAGAAATACTTTGATGTTGTATGCATGCAAGTACTCGTGAAGATTGTTGATTCGAGAGGACATTGACGTTGTTTTGAGAGGACATCGAGAGGGAAGTTGTCCTGTGTATCGGAACGAGAATGCGGTAGTTCTTGAGAGGACATGTTGGGGTATTGGTGTTGTGCATGAACGACTCTATTCTGCTGTGTGGGTTTTATCCCCGGCATTGTGAAGGCGTGTTTCCAAGTCTATAACCGTCAGGTGAAGACAGCTTGGGCGCCTGTGTGTGGATAATAAATAGCAAGTTTGGTGAGGCAGATATAGCCGATGTAGACTACTGTTTATTGAAACGGTCGAATTTGCCAGAGGCGTTATTGTTCCTGTATTTCGGGGTATCAGGTTGAGAAGAGTCCTTTTGGGATGGTCACTTTATCGGAGAGTTCACGTGCAGGAGAAGGCTCGCTGGACAGCGTGGAATAGCAGATTTATACAACAGCAGTACGTGAACTCAGAGAGGGATAGCAAGGATTGGCCAGATTGGGAGGCCAAGAAGTTGCGTTCTT